ACCAAGGAACTTATTTGTGCTGGCCTACTATCCGAATTTTGATATAATCTAAAACGTTCAATATTTTGGACTTTCCTAAATTCTGTCTATGTTAACGCATTTACACGAGATAGGATTTATACGAAGAAGTTATTTGCAGTGTTCAGTACTAACTACAGATGTTGGATGTATAAAATAGGACCGTTTTGAATTTTTCCTAGATAGCTTCAGTGTATATAGACTTTGACTTTTCCTTTACCTTAAGGATTTGGTCTTTTTTCCTATCCGTATATTTCGTTTATTGTATTCCGTTGGTAATGGCACATTATTTTTCCGTTTATCCCATATCAATTCAAAATGTTTGTTTCAGATAGTTAACCATAAAGTTATGGACACATCATCTTGAAATGTTCAAAATGATATAAACTTTTAAAAATATATACTAAACTACGGTTTACCCAGATGTTTTCGTGTTAGGTACGCCATTAGAACTTATTAACAAAATTCCATCTTCTATCAAACCTATACCACTACATACCAGTATGTAGACATGTGAACGTCGTGAAAGAAAGCATGTGCCCTATGGGTGCTACACGCTAAAAGGTGAAAGGGAATATGTTCATTTTCCACAAATGAAAAAGGGTTACACATAGTTAAAATAATAATAGAAAATACCGTTCCAGACATTTAAGAATGAGTATGATTGTTATGCTAAGTTGAGTGTAGTACTAATAGCGAGCTACAAAAGAGAGACGAAAGACACTAAAGGGACACTCAAACTCATAAGTCGACAAAAAAACTGACAATGCCATGGCAAAAAACGAAAAACGACCAGAAACAAACAACAGTAGAAAAAAACACAACACAGAAACCAAAGACAGAGCTACACGAATCTCAACAAAAACCGGAAGTGATATCAGGTGCTCCGAAAGGGTAAGCAGATTCATCTCCACATGTGACACCCGTCGTTTTACTCCTACAAAATATGTTGATACGTTACATGAAGTGATACGTCATCATGCAATAGCAGATTTGGCAATTGACTCCAATCTAACCGAAAACAGAGAAGAAACCAGACTACTAATCAAGGAAACCGATCGTTCTTTTATAATGAAGTGTAATTCATGGTCAGTAATAGATCCTGTCAAAAGACAGTACTCAAATTCAACAAAGGAGAAATGTATTATAGATGACGCATTTACAGTCCAAGGAGACAGAAAGAACAGACCAATGTTGACATATAGAAGAAAATGGTGAATATGATAAAGTAATATGTGATGGAGAATGGGTAATAGGCTGAGAGGATTGAGGAGAATGTGACAGTATAGAATCTGTAGTATGATGCAGCGAGCATTTGAGAATAAAAACTTTTATACAAAACTTACAGAATGATGTCCCGTTCTGTGCATGCAAAAAAACCTCATATATGTCGTAACCGCTTCTTGCCGATGAAAAATTATTTCAGAATAGAAGTTTTTGGTCTTAGGTTTATGTGTATTCTACAGTGGCAATATAAATTTGAATTCGGCTTAAAGTCATCTTGGACCAAACGTTACATAATTCCAATAGTCAGTAGCTTTGTTTTATATCGAAAACTGTTAACTTTGAATCATGAAGGAATTTAACCAAATATTTAGTATGTTTTGTCTGTCGAGAGAAAGGTAACGACACTGTTGGTAGACTCTTGGAGGTTTAGGGCATACGTGACGTTGATTTCTGTCGAGAGAAGCTGAAAGGTAACGACACTGTTGGTAGACTCTTGGAGGTTTAGGGCATACATGACGTTGATTTATGTCGAGAGAAGCTGAAAGGTAACGACACTGTTGGTAGACTCTTGGAGGTTTAGGGCATACGTGACGTTGATTTCTGTCGAGAGAAGCTGAAAGGTAACGACACTGTTGGTAGACTCTTGGAGGTTTAGGGCATACATGACGTTGATTTCTGTCGAAAGAAGCTGAAAGGTAACGACACTGTTGGTAGACTCTTGGAGGTTTAGGGCATACATGACGTTGATTTCTGTCGAGAGAAGCTGAAAGGTAACGACACTGTTGGTAGACTCTTGGAGGTTTAGGGCATACATGACGCTGATTTCTGTCGAGGGAAGCTGAAAGGTAACGACACTGTTGGTAGACTCTTTGAGGTTTAGGGCATACATGACGTTGATTTCTGTCGAAAGAAGCTGAAAGGTAACGACACTGTTGGTAGACACTTGGAGGTTCAAGGCATACATGACGTTGATGTCTGTCGAGAGAAGCTGAAAGGTTACGACACTGTTATTAGACTCTTGGAGGTTTAGGGCATACATGACGTTGATTTCTGTCGAGAGAAAGGTAACGACACTGTTGGTAGACTCTAGGAGGTTTAGGGCATACATGACGTTGATTTCTGTCGAAAGAAGCTGAAGGGTAACTACACTGTTGGTAGACTCTTGGAGGTTTAGGGCATACATGATGGTATGATACTAAACCCCTAACGGGAAGGATTGTGCCTGATATTCATATGATGAAGACATAATCTTTCAATCAGTTTAATTGAATTCTGGAGCTGGCATGTCAGTTAACTGCTAGTAGTCTGTTGTTATTTATGTATTATTGTCATTTTGTTTATTTTCTTTGGTTACATCTTCTGACATCAGACTCGGACTTCTCTTGAACTGAATTTTAATGTGCGTATTGTTATGCGTTTACTTTTCTACATTGGCTAGATGTATAGGGGGAGGGTTGAGATCTCATAAACATGTTTAACCCCGCCGCATTTTTGCGCCTGTCCCAAGTCAGGAGCCTCTAGCCTTTGTCAGTCTTGTATTATTTTTAATTTTAGTTTCTTGTGTACAATTTGGAGTTTAGTATGGCGTTCATTATCACTGAACTAGTATATATATTTGTTTAGGGGCCAGCTGAAGGACGCCTCCGGGTGCGGGAATTTCTCGCTGCATTGAAGACCTGTTGGTGACCTTCTGCTGTTGTCTGTTCTATGGTCGGGTTGTTGTCTCTTTGACACATTCCCCATTTCCATTCTCAATTTTATGATGTTGATGTCTGTCGAGAGAAGCTGAAAGGTAACGACACTGTTGGTAGACTCTTGGCGGTTTAAGGCATACATGACGTTAATTTCTGTCGAGAGAAAGGTAACGACACTGTTGGTAGACTCTTGAAGGTTTAGGGCATACATGACGTTGATTTCTGTCGAGAGAACCTGAAAGGTAACGACACTGTTGGTAGACTCTTGGAGGTTTAGGGCATACATGACGTTGATGTCTGTCGAGAGAAGCTGAAAGGTAACGACACTGTTGGTAGACTCTTGGAGGTTTAAGGCATACATGACGTTGATTTCTGTCGAGAGAAGCTGAAAGGTAACGACACTGGTGGTAGACTCTTGGAGGTTTAGGGCATACATGACGTTGATTTCTGTCGAGAGAAGCTGAAAGGTAACGACACTGTTGGTAGACACTTGGAGGTTTAGGGCATACATGACGTTGATTTCTGTCGAGAGAAGAAGAAAGGTAACGACACTGTTGGTAGACTCTTGGAGGTTTAGGGCATACATGACGTTGATTTCTGTCGAGAGAAGCTGAAAAGTATCGACACTGTTGGTAGACACTTGGAGGTGTAGGGCATTGATGATTGATTTCTGTCGAGAGAAGCCGAAAGGTAACGACACTGTTGGAAACTCTTGGAGGTTTAGGGCATACATGATGTTGATTTCTGTCGAGAGAAGCTGAAAGGTAACGACACTGTTGGTAGACTCTTGGAGGTTTAGGGCATACATGATGTTGATTTCTGTCGAGAGAAGCTGAAAGGTAACGACACTGTTGGTAGACACTTGGAGGTTTAGGGCATACATGACGTTGATTTCTGTCGAGAGAAGAAGAAAGGTAACGACACTGTTGGTAGACTCTTGGAGGTTTAGGGCATACATGACGTTGATTTCTGTCGAGAGAAGCTGAAAAGTATCGACACTGTTGGTAGACACTTGGAGGTGTAGGGCATTGATGATTGATTTCTGTCGAGAGAAGCCGAAAGGTAACGACACTGTTGGAAACTCTTGGAGGTTTAGGGCATACATGATGTTGATTTCTGTCGAGAGAAGCTGAAAGATAACGACACTGTTGGTAGACTCTTGGAGGTTTAGGGCATACATGATGTTGATTTCTGTCGAGAGAAGCTGAAAGGTAACGACACTGTTGGTAGACACTTGGAGGTTTAGGGCATACATGACGTTGATTTCTGTCGAGAGAAGAAGAAAGGTAACGACACTGTTGGTAGACTCTTGGAGGTTTAGGGCATACATGACGTTGATTTCTGTCGAGAGAAGCTGAGAGGTAACGACACTGTTGGTAGACACTTGGAGGTTAAAGGCATACATGACGTTGATGTCTGTCGAGAGAAGCTGAAAGGTTACGACACTGTTGGTAGACTCTTGGAGATTTAGGGCATACATGACGTCGATTTCTGTCGAGAGAAGCTGAAAGGTAACGACACTGTTGGTAGACTCTTGGAGGTTTAAGGCATACATGATGTTGATGTCTGTCGAGAGAAGCTGAAAGGTAACGACACTGTTGGTAGACTCTTAGAGGTTTAGGGCATACATGACGTTGATTTCTGTCGAGAGAAGCTGAGAGGTAACGACACTGTTGGTAGACTCTTGGAGGTTTAGGGCATACATGACGTTGATTTCTGTCGAGAGAAGCTGAAAGGTAACGACACTGTTGGTAGACTCTTGGAGGTTTAGGACATACATGACGTTGATTTCTGTCGAGAGAAGCTGAGAGGTAACGACACTGTTGGTAGACTCTTGGAGGTTTAGGGCATACATGACGTTGATTTCTGTCGAGAGAAAGGTAACGACACTGTTGGTAGACTCTTGGAGGTTTAGGGCATACGTGACGTTGATTTCTGTCGAGAGAAGCTGAAAGGTAACGATACTGTTGGTAGACTCTTGGAAGTTTAGGGCATACATGACGTTGATTTCTGTCGAGAGAAGCTGAAAGGTAACGACACAGTTGGTAGACTCTTGGAGGTTCAGGGCATACATGCTGTTGATTTCTGTCGAGAGAAGCTGAAAGGTAACGACACTGTTGGTAGACACTTGGAGGTGTAGGGCATACATGATTGATTTCTGTCGAGAGAAGCTGAAAGGTAAGGACACTGTTGGTAGACTCTTGGAGGTTTAGGGCATATGTGACGTTGATTTCTGTCGAGAGAAGCTGAAAGGTAACGACACTGTTGGTAGACTCTTGGAGGTTTAGGACATACGTGACGTTGATTTCTGTCGAGAGAAGCTGAAAGGTAACGACACTGTTGGTAGACTCTTGGAGGTTTAGGACATACATTACGTTGATTTCTGTCGAGAGAAGCTGAACGGTAACGACACTGTTGGTAGACTCTTGGAGGTTTAGGGCATACATGACGTTGATTTCTGTCGAGAGAAGCTGAAAAGTAACGACACTGTTGGTAGACACTTGGAGGTTTGGCGCATACATGACGTTGATTTCTGTCGAGAGAAGCTGAGAGGTAACGACACTGTTGGTAGACTCTTGGAGGTTTAGGGCATACATGACGTTGATTTCTGTCGAGAGAAGCTGAAAGGTAACGACACTGTTGGTAGACATTTGGAGGTTTAGGGCATACGTGACGTTGATTTCTGTCGAGAGAAGCTGAAGGGTAACGACACTGTTGGTAGACTCTTGGAGGTTTAAAGCATACGTGACGTTGATTTCTGTCGAGAGAAGCTGAAAGGTAACGACACTGTTGGTAGACTCTTGGAGGTTTAAAGCATACGTGACGTTGATTTCTGTCGAGAGAAGCTGAAAGGTAACGACACTGTTGGTAGACTCTTGGAGGTTTAGGGCATACATGACGTTGATTTCTGTCGAGAGAAGCTGAAAGGTGACGACACTGTTGGTAGACTCTTGTAGGTTTAGGGCATACATGACGTTGATTTCTGTCGAGAGAAGCTGAAAGGTAACGACACTGTTGGTAGACACTTGGAGGTTTAGGGCATACGTGACGTTGATTTCTGTTGAGAAAAGCTGAAAGGTAACGACACTGTTGGTAGACTCTTGGAGGTTTAGGGCATACGTGACGTTGATTTCTGTCGAGAAAAGCTGAAAGGTAACGACACTGTTGGTAGACTCTTGGAGGTTTAGGGCATACATGACGTTGATTTCTGTCGAGAAAAGCTGAAAGGTAACGACACTGTTGGTAGACTCTTGGAGGTTTAGGAAATACGTGACGTTGGTTTCTGTCGAGAGAAGCTGAAAGGTAACGACACTGTTGGTAGACTCTTGGAGGTTAAGGGCATACATGACGTTGATTTCTATTATTACAATTTTTTCACCTGAAAATCGGATGCGTGATTATTTTACCAAAATTCTTTCGAAACATTGAAAACATCTTTGAGACAATTGAATACTATAGTCCTGCGAACTGTACAAAGTCAATAGTGTCGCGCATCGGGTCTCAATTTACCAATTGACTACAGGCTGCTAGGTATATGTTTACCTTCAATATTCGGGGATTTCCCAGTGTTTTTTTTTATCGAGATCCGCTTTAATGGTATATATGTAAATCGACTAAACCGGAAAATTGTCATATTGCACAAAGCATTCAAGGTGCAAAGAATTCATGGTAATTAACTCATTATTTAGAAGGAGCGGGACTAAAAATTGATCTAGATTCATACGAATAGTTTAGTGTCTGAAAACTGCTGGCGAAAAATAGTTCAGTGTCTGAAAACTGCTGGCAAAAAATAGTTAAGTGTCTGAAAACTGCTGGCGAAAAATAGTTATAACGTTTCTGAGGCTGAGACATTTAGTTTGGTTGGTGCCAAGGCTTTGCGGTTTTCACATCACGCACTATTGCAGTGAGTGTACAATGTATTCATTATCATTCGTTGGATCAAAATTTTCGTGGATTTCGTTGGTATAGGAAATCACGAATTAAAATGTCACATGAAGTACAAATATTATACAGGCTTGCATGCTTACTTAGACAAAACCACGACTACAAATATCCGTGAAACTTTCCATCAATCGAAGAAAAATTAGTATCCATGAAGAAAAATTAATCCACAGTATGCTAATCAGACCATACCTTGGTGCTATGTTTTTGTACATTGTTTTGGTTTTAGAAACAGGGATCTGACAGCTTCCTATGTATTATTTCCTAGTTTACAGAAAACCCATTAAACAACAGGTTCAAAACGGGACTGAAAATGAAAATAACACATCCCGGAATAAAGTTCAGGGGCATTCAAACACAAACATTTCAAAGCTAAGGATGTGTAAATACTTGGAGGTCAAAGGTTGAATCAAGTTTGCATCGTACTTTTTTTGGCCTTCTTTAAATTTTTTGATTCGAGCATCACTGATGAGTCTTTTGTAGACAAAACGCGCGTCTGGCGTACGAAATTTTAAACCTGGTAATGTATCTATGATGAGTTTATTTGGATTTATCTTAAGAATTGTTATATTGGTATCACTGCTTTGTAAATGTTTTTGAAATACCAGGAAACTGGTAGGTATCCGTATTGATTTGAACGCCACTGATGAGTCTAATGTAGACAAAATGCGCGTCTGGCGTACCAAAGTATAAAGTTAAGAAGATGCGGTATGATTTCCAATGAGACAAATCTCCTCCAGAGAACAAATGACGTAGAAATTAGCAACTATAGGTCATCGTACGGCCTTCAACAATGAGAAAATCCCATGCCGCATAAAAGGCCCCGATATAACAAATGTAAAACTTACAATTCAAATGAGAATACTGACAGCCTAATTGATTTACAAAACACAAAAAAAATAAATGTGATATACAGCATAAACCTGGTATCTTTGATGAAGTTTAACAACCACTTAAAAGATTACCAGCGCTGTTCATTACTGTTCTGTATGAAATATTCAATTTGAATATCAAACAGCTGGTTTGTGCCTAATCTTTATTTTTGACTCGTATATTCCCTTTTTCCATTGTTTCCTATCGCATCAAATTTTTAATTAACAAATAACGTCATCCCGAATAACAAAATTGACTTTTAAACAATATCAAGGTCTGACATTTTCTTATTTTAAGCTCAATTGTAAATTAAAGTGTTTATGAAAAAGTAATGATGAAACCTTGAGAAATTGATGTTTTCCAATATTGAAGAGCATTTGTTAACAAGAGGTGACAAGCTAGGTGCTACTCGCATTACCAGCAGGTGGCTTCATTGTATAACAGTAGACAATAAAATAGTAGAGTTATGTTTCAGCCACTTGTAACTATATATAATTCAGTGTTTCAAAAAGATTTATTGAAAAAATCCAGAGAAAAATACCGGTATTCGAATTTTTATTATTACGTAATATATTACGTGTCAATGTCTTAAGCTAGGAATATATATATATAACTTTGACCAATGTCATTGACTTTAGCTAGGAATCTATATGGCTAAAAGCGTATTAAATCACTTATAACAAAACGATATTTGTATATAATTGTAATTGTAATGTATTATATATAATTGTAAGTGATTTGATACGCTAAAAGCTAAAAATATTCCTAACTTTTATTACAACTAATTGGTCTTGGCGTATGCTATTATACAGCTAGATACAAGTTTTAAATTACATTCAATGTAGTTTCCATAATAATGTACGTCATTAAACCAACGCGATTGCCATAATAAACTTATTTGATAGATTAACAAGACTTTTATAGAATATATGTACTATTCGGTAGTATACCAATGCCAAATAAAGTATCGGAATACTAGTTATAAACAGGAAAACATCATTTGATTATGAGGAATTTGTAATTCGTTGAAGGTCGTATAGTGACCTCTAGTTGTTTACATTTTTTTTTCTTTTTGTGGGTGTTTGCCTCATTGGCAATCATATCACATCTCCTTATTTTCATGTTGGGGTAAACACCATTTGGAAGAATTTGAAAGAGTAAGACCAGGTGTGATCTAGAACCTATATGAGATTAAAGCAAAAACCTAAAAGGGATATTAGCTACGATTTAGACAAACAATTAAAATAGAATGCGTTTTGTTTCAAGCATTTATTAAAGTGGAATTTAGAAATAACATATCGATATTATTTTAATCCGTTTTCATGCTACCTTCAATTTACCCCCGAGGTGGAGATAGGTTACGGATGTGATAAGCATTTTCAGTTATTGAATAGAAAAGAAAATCAACATTCAAAATTGAAAGAATGAGCCACCGGAAGAACCGCTTCGTCGACTGATTCGACTCACAAAATATTATTCTTCTACAGGTAATATGATGATTTCATATTTTATCATCTATAACATGAAATCAAACAGACCTAGAAAAACCGTCAATATACGATTGCACGTTCCTGTCTAAGGATTTACATTTATGTTTATGTTTATATCGGTCCATGGTCAATTGTGTGGCGTCTAGTCAAATATACGCATGAAATTCCGATACTTTATAACGAGTCCAAGTACTGTTAATTTAAGAAATAATACATGGGGGCTTGAATTTATACTGATTTTGTGTTAAATGAAAAACTGTTCTAAGTCTCTTTGGGTGATATCTTCTTATAGGTCTTTATCTTTAATCTTCCAATAATAGAGTCGTCGTCTCCCTGGTGGAATTAGGGGCATTCCTCCTGCCTTCAATAATGCTTCAGCTCTCTCTGCTAAGGAGTCCTTAACATTATCCTCCTCATCTGTCTCTATATCATACACCTCTTTTTTGTGTTTATCTGTACAATCCTTTTGTCTGAATTGATAATTTTGAGCTGTCCTGATTTTTCTTCCTCATCTGTCTCCACATCGCTCAGCATAGGGATGTAATCATCTTTCAGTATTGCATTACTTTCATTATTTACTGGTATTTTTGGATGCTGCTCCTTGTCTGGTGTTGTTGACTTAGTAGTCGTTGATAGATGTTCCTTTTCTGGAAGACGTACTTCACTTCTTGCAGGTTGGTGAACTTCTGCAGTGTTTCGTGCCTGCTTTGATGTTAATTTTTGAACATTCTCTGACCTTCCTTGGTTTTTTTTTTCGTTTTGTTCCTCTTCAATCATATCATCAACTTCCCCAATAGAGTCCATAATCTCATACTAATGCTCCTCTCCTATGTCTGATCTACACGAGGTTTCATCATTTACTGGTTCCTCAGTTGTCCTTCTTGATTTTACTTTAAACGTTACTTTCCCCCTAAACAGCTTCCTGGTATGCCTTTCTCCAATCCTTAATGCTTTGGTCACCTGATTTAGTGTATGTTTTGATTCCATCAACTTCATTTATGTCTCAAAAATGTGGGGAGGCTCATAATCCACCTTGGCAATGTCCATTCTTCTTAACAGGTTGTCTTTAGCCTTTGAGTCCTCCATGATCCAACGAACTAACTCTACCTTGAACCAAATTTCATTCGAAGGTAGGCCGTTTTTCCTCTGGAAGACAGTGCTATCCTGGCCTCTGTGAGTTCTGGTAAATCCACCAGAGACCTGGATGAACTATATTTCCGCTTCCTGGAGCTGACAGGCTGTTCACTAAAAACAGAGTGACTCAGTGCTTTTTTCCATCCTTCTTCCCATATCTTCTTGAACATGTCAGCTCCTTCCTTCCACCCATCCACACAATGCAGCTCTCGTTCTTATTGCAATGGTACTGGTCCGTTTTGATGGCTTGATAATCTTTAGGTAATCTTCCGGCCTCTTTGACAACCAAAATCCATTTGGCTTCGTGAAAAAGTTAACCTCTAGTAAGTCTATGGTGAGATCATTGTGTTTCCTGTTACTGTGTTTTGTCAGTTCGGACAGCCTACCAAACGTTCTTTCACTGTCCACACACTATGGACATACTACTCTGCACACCGAGTGCTCTGAGATGGCATGGTTCTTAAGGTCCTCCTTCTTCTCGAAAGTCTCTGGACGCATCCAATATTTTGTTGATATTACCGAACTAATTCTGAAATACAAGGAATAATGCTATCAATTCCCTGTATTGTATACAAAAAGTTAAATCCTCCCCCGTCCCGTTTTATGATTGTGTACATGGAAGGCCAGCATCCGTATGCAAGTAAACCCAACTCAAACCATGCAAATAACGCCAACAATAGTTAACTCAAAACAAATGGAAATCCGTAAAATAGCTGTCTGTTCATATGTATCCAAAACAAAACACTTGACTAGGCTCCTCCTTAGTCAGTCAGGATCTATCCTGTATCTCAATGATTTGGCTAATGGTTGGCCGGACCACCCCCAAATTTCTCTACGACAGATCTGTAATAAAATAAATACTGCAGTATATCCCAAAATAAAAGTATAAACAGGTACAGAATGATGAGGATCCTAAATTTTCCTCCAACACTTAGCCAACTGGCTTATCCAATTGCTGGTGGTTATTCGCTTCCTCCATGTCCATCATTCTTCGAAATCTGCTTGCCCACGATGGAACATTCCTCCCCTGATATAGTGCCAAACGATCTACTTGATAAACAGTAGAAGGCTGAGTCGAGCTTCTCTTTACTCGGTAAGTAAAATCTGTTCTTTTTTTCTATTACAAATGGTCCTTTCCCTTTAGGTGTTAGTTTTGAGCATATTCTATTTTTTTCTTTTAGGGTCATAAATCCAAACAGCTTCCCCCTTTAAAAGTATCGTTTCTTTGCATTAAGATCATATCTCTTTTTCTGTTAGATAGAGACTTTTTTGGGTGCGTTTCTTGCATATACATGATTTTCTCTTCATTTATTTTGCAGGTGTGCAACATAGTCATCTGGCGACCAGTTTTCTTGTATTTCAGCAGCTGGCTGTGGAATTACAGCTTGAAGTGGCATAGTTACCTCCCTTCAAAAGAGCATGGAATTTGGTGTCCTTGAAGTAGATGCATGAACAGAAGATCAGGACGCCATCATCACCTATGCAGATGCTGATCCCATTGATTTTGATTTTGTTTACAATACATTGATAACATTGAAGCAAGCGTTCTATTAAATCTGTCCACGCCACCATTGGATTGTGGTCTGAAACTTGTTGTTATTGTTTTATGAATGCCAAGTAGTTTGAACATTCTCTGGAATATATCATAGATATAAGAAGATGTGGTATGAGTGCCAATGAGACAACTCTCCATCCAAGTCAAAATTTATAAAAGTAAACCATTATAGGTCAAAGAAACTGTCTTCAACACGGAGCCTTGGCTCACAACGAACAGCAAGCTATAAAGGGTCCCAAAAATTACTAGTGTAAAACCATTCAAACTGGAAAATCCGTTAGTCTGAAAATTTCTCCCTTGATCTGTGTGTAATTTAAGGGGTGCTCCAAATTGTGTTACAAAGTGGTCAATGAATGCAGAACAAATAGTTGAGCTTTCCTGGTTTGTTATAGCTATAGCCTCTGTACATACCACTTAGTGAACAGATCTAAGATGACTAAGATTTGAGCTTCTCAAGTATCTGGTCAACGCCTAAATGAGCAGCTGATGGCATATCATGAAATTAGTGCAAGAGATCTTGTTTTCGGCTCCCAGGGACAATCATTTGTTTTCCAACTTCTTGACCAATGTTTGTCTCAAACCCTCTGTATAAAACTCCTCCATGCGTTTCTAGACTGTCACATGGCGGTTTTTGAGGTCCAGCTTCAAGGGCAACAAAGACTCTTCCTATATTTTCATCTGCCAATTGCTGTTGTCTTATCTCTGATGGTTCCCAACCTCCTAAACGTTCCTCATTCGTGCTGTTGTTCCTTGAGTTCGCTCCTAGTGAAAGATCTAATAATTCCAGGAATTAGCCCTGTTGTTTCAGTATCCTTAATATCTGATAATTCATCTGCCTCCTCAAGGGGAGTAGCAAGGTGTCCAACTGTTGCTATTTGTTTTTCCAAGTTTGATCGGCATTCTACAGGGTGGTCACGTACCTCCCAAGCATCAAAATTTTCATTTAAATCCTCTTGTCGTTTACATGATTTACATGGGTTTCTTGACATTGCATCAGCATTTGTATGTTTCCTCCTTGACCTATGAGTAACCTCAAAATTATATGTCCCCAATGTCTGAAGCCATCTTGCTACCTGACCCGTAGGATCCTTTAGACTGATGCCAACTGACCGCTGCATTGTCAGTCCTAAGTAAAACTGGTCTACCGTAAACATATAGCTGAAAATTCTTTAATGCAATGATTCCAACTAGTAACTCTGTTCGAGTTATACAGTATGAAATTTCGTGCTTATTGAGTGCCTTGCTCATGTATGCAATAACATGCTCTCGACCATCGTGTTCCTGGCACAGAACGGCTCCCACTTCGTAAATACTGGCATCTGCGTCCAAAATGAAGTGCTTATCTGTAACTGGATTAACTAGTTTTGGCGGCCTAATCAGTGCTTGTTTTAATGAGTTAAAAGCCATCTGGCAGTTTTCTGTCCAAATGAAATTTGTCCCCTTTTTGCATGCCTTATGTAAAAGTCAAGATAAATCAGCAAAACCCTTGAAAAATTTCCGATAGTAGGAGCAACGTCCTAAAAAACTTTTTATTTCCTTTGCATTCCGAGGGACTGGCCATTTTTGAACTGCTCTAGTTTCTCAGGATCGTTTTGAACTCCCTGCTCTAAAACTACATGTCCGAGAAACTTGACGCTTTTCTGAAACAAAATGCATTTAGAAGGTTTTAATTTTAAAATGGCCTCTCTCATTCACTGAAATACATGCTCTAGTCTAAGTAGCTCCTCTTCAAATGTTGCTCCGGGAACAATTATATCATCCATATACAAGAGACATTTCTCCCACCACTGTAGTCCTCTCAGTAGGTCCTCCATTAGCCTTTCAGAAACTGCTTGGCTAGTGGCTCAACCAAAAGTTGTAACTGTAAACTGATGTAGTCCTTGGCTGGTCGAAAATGCTGACATCTTGATAGAGTTTCCCCTGATAAAACCTTGGTTTAAGTCCAGACATCCAAACCACTTGGCTTCTACTACAGAATCTAAGCAATCGTCCACACGGGGCAAAGGATAAGCGTCTTTATTGATTATCAGTTCATTTAAAGCTCTGTAATCAACACTTGTACTTCCATCCTTCTTGGCTATAAGTACTGTTCTATAACTCCAAGGGCTGTCTGATGGTTCAATGACTCCTCGGTCCAACATTTTGACTATTTCCTTTTTCTCTATTTCCCTTTTTCTTAATAGTAGTCTTCTATGTGTTTGTCTTATTGGTAGGGCAGTTCCTATATTTATTCTATGCTGTACCCTATTAGTCCTCCCTAATTCATCAGCTGATTTTGCAAAAAAAAGTTTGAATATAATTGAAGAAGTTCTTTGAGTCGTTGCTTTTCCTTTTCTTGTAGATGTACAATACTTCTGTTAGATGAGTCCTCAATATGTGATGGTAGCTTGTCTGATCTGGTTCCCTCTGTTCCAATGTGATTGCATACTCCTACAGCTGGAATGTTGTAGTATGATTCACATACCCTATATGTTCCTTAGCATGGACAGTAACTGGTTCCTCTCTAAAAGTATTAATTGGACTCGAATGTCTGCTTGATGCGGATACAAAATTCCCCTAATTATGTTAAGTTCTGTTTCCTTTTTCTGAGTTTTATCCACGTATCCTAGTGGTTCTAAGTGTTCTGCGTTTTATATTAATACTGGAATGAGCATTTTAGATTTTCCAGGCAATGTCTCCTTGGAAATGATTTGATAGATGTTACGTAATGTGTCATGATAACGTTTAAAACGGTACGAGTTAGGAAAATATTCAATTGGATCAATTGGATCCCCATAATTCAAGTTTGCCAAAGCTGTCTTAGTGCATAAAAATCAGCTAAGACTGTTATTTTTCAGGTTAACAGATATTGATCCCAAATAAATTTTGAAATATTAAATGTGTTGTTTCTTTGTCATTATTGGTAATACCCATCTATAACAATATACTAGAGGCAATAATAGTCAAAAGTCCACAAGAAAACTTATGATAGAATAGAACATATACTAGGGACAATAATAGTCAAAAGTCGACGACAAGTAAACTTATAATAAAATAGAACATATACTAAGGGCAATAATAGTCAAAAGTCGCGGAAGACAGACAACACAAAAATCAAAGGTTCAAATATGAATAA